TGAGTTGGAATGGACTTGAGGCTAAGGAGTCAAGTATCTGAAGGATACTAGATTTCTTCAGTTTTCTCTTTTAAAAAGGCCTTGAACTCTGGGGCCAAAGCGGGCTGAGGTAGGAGCTCACTCCTCCAAATGGGTGCCCAAGCTGCAGAAGCTGTCCTGGGTCGCTGTCCACCCACGTACAACACATTCAGCCCTAAGAAGGAAAGTGCCACAGGCCCGAGTCCAGGCCACTGCTCCTTTCACTCTGTGAACCAATGTTCTCAAACCTGAACTGGCATCACTACCTGGAAAGCTTCCTCACCCAGCAGCCCTCGTCCAGTCAGCTAGAGTGGGCCCACACTCCGAGAAGCCCGGCTGTGGGGAATTCTGAAATCCTCCAAGGCCCTAACCTTCAGCAGGACAAACCGAACAAGCCTGCCAGGCAGGAGCCCTCTCTCTCCCCACCATCTGTACCACGTCTCCAGTCAAGGCAGCCAGTCAGGGCTGCAGCACCAAATTGTCACAGCTCTCAGCTTAGCTACTCCATCAAAAATCTAGGAGAATCCTTTAAAACTAGAGAAAAAAAGCCAGCCATGCAGCCAATAAACACATGAAGAAATGCTTGTGAGCATTGGCCATTAGAGAGAAGCAAATCAAAATGAGACATTATCTCACCGCAACAATAATAGCAGGTCAGTAAGACAGGAAACAAATACTGCCAAGGGTGTGGAGAGACTGGGACACTCATACAGTGCTGGTAGGTAGGACGGTAAAATGATGCAACCACTATGGAAAACAGTATGGTGATTCTTTAAATAACTAGAAATAGAAATGTCATTGGATCCAGCAATCCTACTTCTATGTGTATATGTCCTAAGTAAATGACAGCTAGGATTCAAAACGGATATATGCACATCCATGCTCTGTGCCAAATTCTTTACAATAACAAAAAGATGGAAACAAACTAAATGTCCATCAATGGATAAATGGGTAAACAAACTACGGTACAGACACACAATGAAATACCATGCAGTATCAAAGAATAATAAAAAAATTCAAGATCTGCCTTACAATATGGATGAATCTTGAGGATATTAGGCTGAGTAAAATAAGTCAATCACAAAATAACAGATAAAAATTAACACTATTAATTACATTAATCAATGGCAATTAATGTTATAAAACAAATTATCTACAAAAGATCAATATTATTTGTAAGCCTTCACTGAAACAAAAGAATTAGTCAAAATATTTTAAAAAGAAAATACAAGAAAAGAACAAATATCACATGAGTTCACCATTACAAAAGGCCAATGAAATGTTTGTGCATAGAAAGAATCCTTCTCTGATGCTTAACAGAGATCAGCGGGGAGAAGATGACAGAGAAAAGTCACTATTTAAATTAAAAATCAGTAAGTAAAGCACTGCAGGAGAGTGGGTCCTGCCTCGGGGTGACCCTCCATCAAGTTTTCATGGCTGAAGATTTTAATGGAAGGAAATGGCCTCATATTTCTCCCAAGGAGCAGCTGGTGGGCTTGAACTGCCAACTCTGTGGTTAGCAGGCCAGCAGACATGTTGGTGAAAGGAAAGACAATATACAATAAAGGGGTCTGTGTCACTAAAGAAAAAGCAGACATGGACAGATACATGAGCATCAAGACAAGAAAGGTGAAAAGGGTGTTTCCTATTTAATTCTGCATAGGTGCTAATAACAAACACTAATCTATAAGAAGGGAGCTCTGGTGGTAAGGAGGTGTGCTGCCAACCCAAAGGCCCATGGTTCAAATTCACCAGCTGCTCCAGAGAAGAAAGACAGGCAATCTTCTCCCATGCAGCTTCCTTCCTCTGAAAACCCCTTGAGGGTCACTATGAGTCTCTTCCAACACGCCAGGACACAACTACATCTACAAAAGGACACAGAAGCAGACAGGCAAGATGAACAGATACAGGGAGGCCAAAAGAGCTTCACCAACGTAGCTTTGGCAGATAGTTCTACAAATACATCTGCATGTGCTATAAACATATCCATACAAACAGAGAGCAAATGAGACAACGTTAGGTAAACTGGCTAGCCACGACCTGAGGGAAGTTGGGCCTGGGGGCTCTGGGCCATAGTTGTGGGGACTTCCAGGTCCACTGGCATAATGTAGTCCACAAAGACCATGTTCCACGCCCAGCTGTGGTGAAGAGTGACTCATTTAAATACTGGCCTCTCCCGCTGTGAGGCAAATAGAAGTGAAGAAAATGAAAGCACATGAAAATAGTATGTCTCAAGGACTAAAAGGCTGTATGAACCTCAGCCTCCATGACCCCCTGTCAGAGAACCTAGACAGTGTTTGGCTCCCACTGCTGACCCTCTGAAGGAGGTCACAACAGAAGGTCCTGGACAGTAGGGAAAGGTGGAACAAAATCAAATCACAAAAAAGTCAGGTCTGTTGGTCTGAGAGAGGCTGGTGGAACCTCAAGCCTGAGACCCTTAGTCCCCCCTCAAGCGAGGACTGGCTCACCACTGTGGCTGGATCTTTAACCAAACAGCAGACAGGCCTTCCCCAGTAAGTAATACCGCCAGGGATATACACATTCCTTAGAACAATCAAACACATGAGCTCAAAGGGCAACTGACGCCCACCCGGGATAAAGTTCAGAAAGCAGGAAAGGACGGGCAAGATGGAGGAATGAAAAGGGTAAGCACAGTGTAGTTAAACAGTGGAGACTGCAGCCAACGCCATGAAACAGAATGTGTATAAACTTCTGAGAGAAAAGCCAACATGCTCTCCATGCTTTCACTCAACAATTTAAAAAGTTCCTAGGGAGCTCTGGTGGCCTAGTGGCAAGAAGCTGCACTGCAATCCCAGAGGTAATGTGGTTCAAATCCAGCAGAGCATCTCCTGGACAATCTCCTTCTGTACCAGTCAGATATGATTTGACAGTACACACAAAAAAATAATAATAAAATAAAAATTCTAAAAAAAGTTCCTTAAAAAAATAAAACGAATTGGTGGAGGGGGAAGGAGAGGGGAGGGAGGAAAATATGCAATAATGCATGAATGAAAATCCAACTTTTCTGTAAACTTTCATTAAAATCACAATTAAAATAAAAAATTTTTAAAAAGAAAATAAAAAGCCAGCCCTGAACATCTCTCTGCACAAAACTGTGAAGGTCTGGTGGTACAAGTGACGATCCTGCCTGGGACCTACCTCTACATTTCTTTTCAAAGCATGGTCTCTACTGAGTCAGAAACTCAGAGGTGGGTCCAGTCACCTGTGTTTTCACTGGAGCTGTGTAAAAGACCTCAATACCTTTGTTACGGTCATGAATAAGTGATTGCATAACAAGAAAGATACTGCAAATATAATTAAAGTTGTGAGTCAGTTGATCTTAAAAACATATTCTTCTGAATTACTCCTAATCACACAGACCTTAAGAGCAGATGGCAGAAAAGCAAATGAAGGGATGGCTTGATGCAAAGGGTTTGATGTGCTGCTGCTCCTAGCTTTGAAGACAGAGGGGAAACCCTCCGAATGCCGAGACCCTTCAGGCCATCAGCCACACTGAAGTGAATTCTCATAGGGTCTGAAAGAGCCTGCATGTGGATTTTGTACCTTAGAGTCTTCAGACAAGGACCCAGCCAACACCTTCCTTTTGATAAGAGAACGCAATCAAGATTGCCCATTGTTCTGACGTAGAGAATGTGTGAATAATAAGCAATTATTTGGTTTCAAGACCCAAAGTGTGTGGTATTTGTGACGGGAGTAGCAGCAATGAACTTTCATTTCAACATTACCTTGCCAATTCAGATGACTCATGATGACCTTATGTGGGTCAGAAATGTTCAGTAAATGACTTTTTTTAGCAAATGACATTCCTTTCTGAGGAGTCACAAACCACCAACTTTTTGTTAGCAGAAGAGCCTTGGAAAAAGTATAGTGCAGATGCTCCTTAAAATTAAGGATGGCAAGATACACTCATGTGCGTTGGACTTGCTATCCACTGGTCGCTAGGGAAAGGCATCATACCTGGTAGGGGTCAGTGAAAAAGAGCAAAGCCCTCAACGGGATGAACTGACGCAGTGGTTGGAACAGACTGTGAGGATCACCCAGAAGCAGGCGGAGTCTTGTGCTGGGTTCTAAGGTCACAGTCAGGACCAAGTCAAGACTAAGAGGTAGTTAGTGACACAGTTTTTTAGGTTTGTAATCAAATTACAAAAAGGAGGTTGTAAAGCATGAAATGAGAAACAGGAAATGTAGAGATGAACAAGGGTTAGATAAAAATTCCAACATTCCATTGCCATCAACTCAGTTCTGCTGCACAGCGACCACATAGGACAGAGCAGCTCACAGGGCTGCTGACGCTGTAAATCTTTATGGAAGCAGACTGCTTCATCTTTCCACCAAGGAGCAGCCAACTGCTTAACGGCTATATGTCCCTTCCCTCTTATTTTAAAAATGAGCTAAACTTTAGCAAGATGAGGCAGCTGTGTTAGAAGTCTGGGCAGCACTGCCCTCAGGAGGGAGAGGGTGGGGACTGAAGGAGGCATGAAGGGAACTTCTAGGAAGGCAGGGATTCGTGAGACTAACTGCCTCGGGAAGCTGTGCTGCCGATCCAAAGGCATGTGGTTCAAATCCTCCAGCTGCTCCATGGGAGGAAGATGGGAAATCTACTGTGCAATTAACTGCCTCTAAAAACTCAAAGATACACAGCACCACCTGCCTCAATCTGCCCAGAATGTTATTAATTTTAGCACTCAACACTTCAGCATCCTGGGAAGTTCCTAAGTCTTGAGCAAATCAGGAAGATTGGTCACCTACACAGAATGCTCTAGTCGAGTGCTACATACACAAGCGTGTGCACCGTGTAGAAGTTCAGTGAGCTTCAGAACTTGGCTCTTTTTCTTACGCACTTTTCTATACATATGTCGTATTTTGATAAAACACACTATAAAGACCAACTTCATCTTTTGGGGTCTCACATATGTGGTGTAACCAACACAGAGCAGTAGGAAGGGGGTGCAGAGCAGTACCTCAGCCTGAAGCCTGGACCTCTGTGTCTGCAGGAGGGAGAGGGCGCCCCGGCTCTCCTCCAGCTGGCCCTGCAGAGCAGCAACCCTCTGTTCCATCAGCAGTGGGTCCTGTGGAAAGAAAGCCAGAGAGCTCTCACTCACAAGTGGGCCTATGAGCACACAGTTTCCAGAATCCAAAGGTGCTAGGTCCACAGAGGCCACCATTAATGCCTTTCTGCTTGGTCTTCATTTAAGTCAGAACCATCAACTGCTTGAGTATAAAATTCATGACCTTAGCAGGCTCATTCTTAAAGCTTTGCTTTCTAATTCAATAAAAACCAAGAGATTATTTGGAATGAGGATTTTTTTTTTGTTTGGCTTTAATTCTCTATGTCTATAAAAGGCAACAAAACAGTAAGAGTTTAGACACTTAGTTATGACATCTCATAGAGGGACCCAGATTCAATTCCTGACTCAATGAACTTTATGGACAATCATGTCTATGGAGGCTGTGTGTTTTTATAATCCTGTGGCGTTAGCCTAAAAGGTGGGATTTTTTAGCCACTACAGTTAGCCTCTTTCGGTCTCCAGCTACCATAATTGCAAACACATCATCTTGCAAATAAATCATCAAATAGGTGTGGGACTAGGAAAAGAAAGAGTGCATTTTCAGAGAGGGCAGCAAGACTCAAGGCAAGCAAGACATGTGACAACAAGTCTTGAGGGAGACTGGAGCAAGACCCTGCTGGTGATGGTGTTGGAGAGACTGTAGCATTGCTGTGGAGAAACTGTGGCAAGGTATAAGCAGAGGAGCACTGAGATAAAGGCCACAATGAAAAGTGTTTGCTGTTCTTTCTGGATGCCTGCAGGAAAAGCTGGCTTATCCATGCTCTGAGATAAACCTTGCTTGATGATTTGGATTTGGCTGCCGGACTGAAACCAGATCGTGGACTAATTGAGGAGCTGTGCCTTGGAACTTGAACTGAAACCTGGACTTGTGGGATATTCTCTGAGGGATATTTTCTGCCTCACCCCCTCTCCAACTCACTTCCCTAATAAACCCCATTGTTGGTAGTGTAACTGTGAGTCTGTGAGTCAACAATGAATAAATGAAGCCTTGCTGTTGGTGTGGCTCTAGAGGCACCACGGGGCTGGACAACGGGCTCTTTATTTGCTTTTTACTCAGTGGCATTGAGGAGCTGTGCTGTTCTCACTCCTGCTGGCCCTTTCAGAGAGACACTCACAGCCATGTGTCCCCATGTCCCGTTTTCTCTAGACAGATGCTAAATGAATTTACAAATTAATTAGGACAAAAGGCACAGTGATCTACTAAAAGAATCAGCTGATGGAAAAACCCTTCCAGCACATAACAGCAGGCTCTGCCACCGATCAGGGGGATGGTGCTGGACCATGCACTGCATTCCACTGCGCATGCATCCAGGCCAACCAGCCCTTGTCTCATGCTGGGACTTCAAAGCAAGGCCCCCAAGGGAGCCCTGCGGAGGCAGCCAAGGAACTTTCAACATTTGATATTTGTTAGGTGGACTTGGAAGCAAAGGAAAACACTACCTCAATCTCCCCACACCCCAGCAAGTCACTACCTGGCTGGACTTTCGTTCATCTATTCATACATTTCTCCACTATTTCCCAATGCCTGCCTGCACAAGAATGCCTCAGACAGAGAGAGATGTGCAGATCTGAAGGCACTCAGAATAAAAACCAAACACACACCAAGTGCTCAGGTACATGCCAAGTGCTCATGCATGTGTCCAAGCCCACAGGTTAACTGAAGCCCTGAAGTCTTAGCACCCAGCAATGTGGTGAGAGAGAGAAGAAGCACACTTAGAAGGACAGAGCAAGAGCAAAGGGAATCACTCCAGGTCCTACGGCAGCCGCAAGGAGATGGTCTAGAGATGGAAACCACAGAAGTCCCTCACCAGCTCCCCGCTCTAACGCACTGCTGGGCAGCCAGTTCCGACCCACAGCACCCCTTCATCGGGGTTCTGAGGCCAATGTGATGTAATGGGAGGAGGCTGCCCATCTTTCTCCTGCAGAGCTGCTTGCTAGGGGATCCACACTGCAAGAGGATGCAAGGCCCTTGGGTTAGCGGCATACCTCACAGCCAACTACACCCCATAGCCCCCAGTTTATCCCGCATCCCCCTGTGTATGGGGAAACAGTTCTCTGTGTCTGCGTTCTGCTCCATTTCTGTGTTCTTTGTTTGTCTGCCTCTCAGTTTCCTTTCTCTGACTTAAGATACAGACAAGGAACAAGCTGAGAGAAGGAACAGTACTGATAGAAGGAGGGACCTGTGAAGATGCCAGCTTTACAGATTCTAGACCTATGACCTCAGGATGAAGGGAGATGTAGCAATCACATCATACCGCTTTCCACCCAGCTTCTGGATTATGGGTCTGGTCAGGCTTCTCACTGCTTAATAACTGTTCATCTTAATACCTTCTTCATCCCTGCCTGCAGGGTGCCATCACAGCCCCATATGTAGCAAGCCCTCGGGCTCACATGCTCACTGGAAAGGTAACAAACAGCCCTGCAGCTGTCTGAAGGCAAAGCATGGTCATGACCTAAAGCAATGCCACAAGCTCCCAGCAGAAGGAGATGTTACTTAGGGCCTTCAGCACTGCATCAGCTTATTGAAACATTTCAATTAGTATTCTACCAATTCCTAGATCCTTGTTTAGTTATTTTTTTAATAATTTTTTTATTGATGAATGCTTTCTTTCCCCTGTCCCCCTGCACCCCTTGTTCCAGATTATTGTCATACATATAATGTCTAATCCTACATTATTCCTTTCAGACAGTTCTTCCCTCATCAGCTCTATTGCAGTGTTGATTATCCATCCACTCTTTCTCCATTCCCCCCCATGTCTGTCCTACTTTGTAACAGTGGTGTTATGCAGTCTTTGTCCTTTTGTGGCTCAAATATTTCACTAAGCATAATGTCTTCAAGGTTCCCCATGTTGTGTAATGTTTTACAAGTTCATTGTCTTTCAATGCTGTGTAGTGCTCCATCGTGTGGATGTACCATAGTTTTTTCTATCCATTCATTTGTTGATAGGCACTTGAGTTGCTTCCATCTCTTTGCTATTGTGAATAATGCAGTACTAAACTGTCCATGTGCATATATCTGAGTCACGGCTCTCGTTTCTTTTGAGTAGATTTCCAGTAGTGAAATTGCTGGGTCATATAGTACTTCTATTTCCAACTTTTGGGGAAAGTACCAGACCACCTTCCATTGTGGCAGTACTATTTTTACATTCTTCCCAACAGTGAACAAGAGTTCCAATCTCTCCACAACCTCACCAGCATTTGTTGTTTGCTGCCCTGTTGAACTTTGCTATCGTTGCTGTGGTTGGATCTTTGTTTTTTCTCAATGCCTTAAATGAACTTAGACTTCTTTTAGTACTATTGATTCTTGACCATATGCTACTAAAATCTGAGAATTGACCACTTCTTTTTGGGTACAAAGACTCTGTGTTTCTTTCATCCTGTTTCAATGCTTCCTGCATCATTCAACATTTTGCTGATAGAATTTTTCAGTATTGCAACTTGAAGATTGAATTTTTTCTTCTTCCAAACTCTCAGCTTGAGGAATATTGAACATGTCCTTCCATTTGGGGAATAAAATTATTTTTTTTTATCTACAAGTCTTTGCACAGTTTTTATGCTTTGTCTTCTCAAGCTGTTCTTTGCAATTTCCCTTCAATTCTCTTTCTTCCTCATTTCTTCTTTCACTTTAGTATCCCAACATTCTATAGTAGGTTTCAGGGTCTCTTCTGACATTCATTTTGGTTTCTTCTCTATCTTTTTAATGACCTTCCATTTTCTTCATGTGTCATATCCTTAAGGTCATCATATAACTTTCCTGGTCTTCAGTTATTAGTGTTCAATGCATCAAATGTTCTTAAAATTATTTCTAAATTCAAATGGGATATACACAAGGTCATATTTCGGCTCTCATAGACTTGTTTTCATTGTCTTGAGCTTTAATTTGACTTGCATGTGAGAAATTAGTAGTGTGTTTCATAGTGGGCTTCTGGTATTTTTCTGGCTGATAATATTGAGCTTCTCCATTGTCTTTTTCCACCGATGTAGTAGATTTGATGCTGTTTACATCCAGTTCGGTGATTATGTTTTTTGGGGGGGTTTGTTTTAAAAGAAATGCTACCCTGCAATTTCCTCAGTCTCTTATCTTCAGTGTTACATTGTCCAACCACCAATTCTTCTTTGTTTCCAACCTTTGTATTCTAATGCATCCTGTCTGTATATGTGATCAATTTCAGACTGCAGAAGGTGGTAGAAGTCCTCCATTTCTTCACCTTTGACTTGAGTAGCCTCAACCAATCTCTCATGAAATATATATACAAGTGTGTTGGCGTTGACACATGACAACACATTTTTCAGTGGCTTTTTCAGAAGTTGGGTGCCAAAACTTTCTGTCTACAAATAGTTCTGATTTTAAACTCTCTCATTTCCCATCTTTTATTTTCACTGCAAATGCTAACTAAAGGCTTTTTTCTTTGCTACAGTAACTACTGTGGTAGTTCTCCTAAGACAATTTAAAAGGAAATTTTGAGATTTCTTTAGTTTTATACTAAAAAAATTTAAGATAAACTCTCTTGGGCCACTCATTCTGCACTTACTAGTGACTGAATTCATACCAGGAAGAAGTTCCACAATTTACCAAAAGAAATACCAGAGGAAAGTCAGAGGCGGTAACTGTGTCTACAAACCAGAGTTCACAGTATGAGTGCCATAAAAGAAAAAAATAATTACCAAGAAAATAAATTTGGATTTGGATTTAAAAAGTGGGAGCAGGAAATAAGTGGAAATAACTGGCTACTCCCCTAACAGGCGCGCCCGGAGCCCTTCCCAGAATCTCTGCAACTTCAAGCAAGTCCAAGGGGCATGCGTGATAGGAGAAGTATCTCAAACACAATATCCTCAGACCTAATTTGCTCAAATTCTTACCTCAGCTGTCCCACTAAGAATGTATGATGCTTGAGGTGCCTTCTGTGTGATCTGTTGCAGGAGGTTGACATAGGTCTGCATTTCCAGAAGATTCTGTTAGGAGATGGAACACATTCTCATTTAAACTTGAGCTTCCTGCATTTCCCCCTCTAACACTAGAAAACCACGTTGTTGTTGTTGTTGTTGTTGTTTTTCATCAAGTCAGAAATGATCTACAGCTGATCCTCTAGTGGATTTCCAGAAGCCGTTAATCACACAAAAGGAGAGTGCTCTTCTTCCTCTCATGGAGCAGCTGGTAGATTCGAACCACATACCTTTGTGTTGGCAGTGCAATTCCTTACCATTAAGCCACCAGAGGGATGAATATTTTCATGTTACATCATTACAAATAGGGCAGCGGTGAAGGAACTGACGATGAACAAAGTCAATCTGCTGCCAAGTACACCATGTGCTGTCACTGCAGAAGATGCTGCAAATCTTGCTTGATTCTCACAAGAGCATCAGACAAAGGCTCGGCCGATTTGGGAGATGATGGGGATGGTGTAGGGTAGGGGTCGAAGCTGCTGCTCATAGGGTTGCTATGAGTCATACTAGATTCGATGGCACAGAAAACAAGAAGGTGTTTTAAAGGGAGCTCTGGCAGCCTAGAGGTGCAGAGCTGCACTGCCAACCAACCCAAAGGCAGGCAGTTCAAATTCATGGGAGAAAGATGGGCAAACTCCTCTTGTGAGCTATGCAGCCTCTGAAAACCCACAGGAGAGTCAGCTATGAGTCGATTCTAACTCTGCAGCAGACAACAATAACAAAAACAAAAGTGCTTTGAACATTTCATGCACTTGGGTGTTATACAAAAGGCTACAGGTATGAGTACACCCAGAGGCTCCTCAAACAAAAACCTGGAGACTTACTTCTGGAAAGCAACCCTGAAAAGTCTATGACCCAGCTACTCTGACATGCATAGCATCACCAAACTATAGCCCATCGTGCATGGGTCAAGGGCACAGTTATTTCTCAACACCTCTATGCGAGACAAAGCAGCCATTGGCAGCTTGAGAAAGCCCTGAAGGGAAGTGACCCAGATCCCAGCCAGTGGAGGCCAGCAGAGCCTGGTGTACAGGAACATTCCTGGAGTCCAGTCAGAAACCTGGTCAGCTACACTCATTCAACTAATGCAAGACGAAGAGGTTCTGAGAAGTCAGGCTTCCCATTGAGTTATACAGCTGCACAATATGAATTCAGACTTGACTCTGGTAGCCTCGAATTTTTCTAGCATAAAGAGTTCCCCAAAGTCAGCCAACAGAGAAGACAATCTGCAAAGAACTACACAGAGGAGACTCTGTGTTCCCCTAATTACCTGGCTCAGAGGAGAAGCTGAGAAACAGCACCTGCGTTTTCAGAGCTCAAATGGTTGGCAGATCATAGTAAACTCAATTGCTTTCAGGTAAAATTTCTCTGTTACTTTATAGCACTATGGCGATAACAGGGAGTTCTGGTGGCTCAGTGGTAAAACGTTGCACTGAAATCCCAAAGGCATGTGGTTTGAATCCACCAGCTGCTCTGCCAGAGAAGGATGGGCAGTCTCCCCACTTGCAATTTACTGCCTCTGAAAACCCACTGGGGGTCAGCTATGAGTTGGTTCCAACTCGCTGGCAAATAATTACAACCAACAACCATGATGATAATTAGTACCCCAGCACATACATGCACGTGCGTGCACGTGTGTGTGAACATACAAGGAGCTTACAGACTCCTCTGCAAATATATGGATAAAACTGTCATGTAGTGACCAGCCCATCGGAACTGGGTTCTAAAGAACACGCACTCCCAAAGGAAACCCACCCTGCAATCACAATCAGCCTGGATGTCCCAGATTCATCTACACAACAATCATGCTTACCTTTTTGTACCTATCCTTTGCCAAATTGATGTCCTCCTGCAGAAACTGGGCTTCAATTTGAAGGCGAAGGTTATACAGTAAGGCTTCATCTGCTTCCTGTGACAAGAAAGACAATCACATGCATAAACTTGGAGGTTCAAAAGTGAAAGCCTTGGTGTAAGGGTGGAAATGAGTCAGGTGTATGAGCATACAAACTACTGGGTGTGGGTTTGCCCTTCAGTGGTGATATGGCAATGTCTAAAAACATTTTTAATTGTCACCACTTGGGTATGAGGTGCCTGCTGGTATCTAGAAGGTTGTTGTTGTTGATTGTCTTCAAGTCGAGCACGACTCATAGCCACCCTGTGAACAAAAGGCGTGACGCCCCTCCAGAACTATCGACATTATCTAAGTTCACAGAGTTTCCAGAGGCATCTTGTTTAGGAAATGAATGCCACTAAATATTGCTTAGCTAATCTTACAATACTCAAAACAGTCTCCTACAACAGAGAATTATGTGGCCCAAAATGCCCAAGAGTGCTACAGGGCTATGAGAAGCCCTGAACTAGAAAAATTTAAAACTTAGGGTATACTTACATACCAGTTTTCATCCTAATAAATAACAATATTTATGTAAAGCTTATTGTTGTTCTTATGTGCCATAAAGTTATCTCCAAGAGGCCTTCTCTGACTCTGTGGTGTCCCCATGGTCTGTCATGCATAAGCCCAATGTTGCAGTCATTGTGTGGATCCATCTCTGAGGATCTCCTTCGCTTTTGGTAACACTCCGCTTTTCTAAGTCTGATGTCCTTCTTCAGGGACTGGCTCCTTCTAACAACATGTCCAAAATATGTGAGACAAAGTTTCACCATTTCTGTTTCTAAGAAGTGCTCTGGCTCCAAGATAGGTTTATTTGTTCAGATAACTGTATATTCAGTATTTTTCATCAATACCACACTTCAAAGGCATCAACTCTTCGCCTTTTCTTTTTCATTGTCCAAATTTTGCAAGCATGTAAAGCAACTAAAAATATAATGGATTGTGTCCAGTGCATGTTAGTCTTTAAAGTGCCATCCTATTCTTTAGCACTTAAAGGCAATCTTGACAGCAGATTTCTCCAATGTACCAAGTCCTTAATTTCTTGATTGCTATTTCCATGAGTGTTGCTTGTAGATATAAGTAAAACAAAAACTTTGATAGCTTCAAGCTTTCTTCCTTTTATCATGATGTTGCTTGTTACACCAAACGCGAACATTTTTGTTTTCTTTATGTTGAGGTGTAATCCATACTGAAGGCTACAGTGTTTGCTTCATTAATAAGTGTTTTCTTTATTTACTGTGAGTAAGATTGCATCATCTGCATATTGTAGGCTTTTGATATTTATCCTGATGTCATATTCTCTTTCATGAAGGCCAGCTTCTTGAATTATTTGCTCAGTATACAGAATTTAAGCCTTGAGTTGTAATACTTATTGTACTGGAAAAATGATCTGCATATGCTAATTTTTTATACTTACTTATATTTAATGTAATACTGATTGAAGGAAGTTGTGAATATCTATAAATAATGCTGTGAACTAAGATCTTTGACATAAGTTATCTAATCCTATATCTTTTTACTGAAATGAAAAAGATTGTATGGGAGTAGACTAGTTATCATGCACTGACTAGACCTCATAAAGAAGGAATACAGTCCTTGAGAGGTATGGCCCAAGCCAGCGCCAATGTTAAAGACATTTCCGTTTGGAAAGGTGTCCATTGCTATTGAGTCAGTTTTGTCTCAGCGATCCTTAGCATCAGGTTTCTGAGCCTGTAAATATTTATGAGAGGAGACTGTTTCTCTTTCTCCCTTTGCTTGCTGGTGGGGTCATACTGTGACCTTTTGGTTAACATCTCAATATGTTATGCAGTGTGCCTGTGCCACCTGGCCTCCTTTTTGGAAAGGGAGCTTTGAAAAATTCAACTTGGATTCCAGTCTCATGTCAAGGCTTTAATATCCATTTTGAAAACTCTGTTTAAGAGTCTTAACAGACTTGATAGGACTGTTCTAGACTGCCTGGTTTGTACTCACAAGTGCCTCATAGTTAGGCTCTCATATTTGTTGTTGTTGTTGTTGTTACATGGTGTTGAGTTGAGCACTACTCATAGTGACCCTGTGAATAGTGGATTTGAACCCCGTCCTATCCTGTGCTATCTTCACACTTCTTGACACAAATGAGCTCATTACAGCAGTCACTCTGTCAACCCACCCGGTTGAGTGTCTTCCTCTCCTTTGCCAACCCTCCACCCTTCCAAGAATCATGTCCCTCTTTAAGGAATAGACCCTAGTAGCAACATGCCTGAAGTAAGTGAGGTGAAGCCTGATCATCCTTTCCTCCAGCGAGCGCTCGGCTGCACCTTCTCTAAGACATATCCGTTTGTTCTTTTGGCCATTCATGCGATGTTCAGTGCTCTTCTCCAGTACCACATCTCAAAGGTATCAATTCTTCTTTTCTCATCCCTATTCATTGTCCAGCTCTCAGATGCATAGCAAGTGACTAGAAAACCCATGGCTTGAAACAGATGCACTTTAGTCCTCAGACTGATGTCATTATTCCTCAATAATTTGGAGAGGTTCTGACCTGGAGACATACCCTATGCAATCCTCATTTTCTGACTACTGGTACCAAGGGTATTAATTGTGGATCCGAGTAGGTTGAATTTGTTGACAGTTTCAGTTTCTTCTCCATCCACTATAATGTTGCCTATCAGTCTGGTGATAAGATTATTTGTTCTCTTGATATTAAAATAAAATCCATATTGAATGCTACAGTCCCTGATCTTCTGCAACAAGTGCTTCAAGTCTGCACTTTCAGCAAACAAGGTTGTGCCATCTGTATAATGTGGGCTCTTGTTGAGTCTCCATCTGATCCTGATGCCACATTCCTCTTCAAAGAGTCCATCTTCTCTAATAATTTGCTCAGCATACAGATGGAATAGGTATGGAGAGAGAACGCAGCCGTGAGGCACTACCTGCTTAATTTTAAATCATGTAGTGTTACCTTCAGGCATTCAGGGTGGTATGGCCGTAGACCCCGGAATGATCCCGTTAAATGATCCCGGAAGTATTAAAAAAAGATGGAAGGAATATACTGAGTCATTGTATCGAAAGGAATTGGAAGACACAGAAGAATTTCATGAAACAACATATGAGCAAGAGCCTATGGTGATGAAAGAAGAAGTTCAGGCTG